TCCCTGATTGGTCCATATCAACCAGACAGGGGTGTGTTTTGTGATGTAAGAGGTTACTAGAAGTCAGAAAACAGCAAGAATTGTTATGGAACAGATTAAACTGTTCTCAGACAGGCGAGAGAAATATTTTGGCGAGTTTGGAGAAACAGGTGCCAACTCCTCTGTTTACGTCTGAGAGGATTTTAAAACAAGACACATGTCTGCTTCGACTCCGACCTTGGACAAAACTTACACTTGCTCATTCAAAGACAGAAATCAGAAAATACATGATTACTCTGTAACAGGCCTTAACATGAATTCTAACTTTGCATAAGCAACTAAAAAATCATTGTTACTGTTTTACAGTTAATAAAATTGATTAGTTCACTGCAACATCTAAAATGGTTTGCACTAAGACACTTTGATTATCAACATTTGTAAAATGGTAATGATAATAAAAAGAGAGTGTTCTTTCACTTGATTTTCAAGAAAAAAAGTCTCAGGATGGGTGAACCTGTATTTCTGGATTCAAATCAATGAAATGACAGTTTCCGTCCCACAAGGTTCTTAAGGTCAAGGGTTTTGACCTTAGGCTTAGGTTTGACATCAGGTTAAGTTCACTACACATGCTCTATTCAACCTCTGCTCGACTGCCTAGCTGACATCAGGGACTGGATGGCTTTAAATTTCTCACTTTCGAATCCAGTTCAAAATACTCCTGTATGTCTACAAATCACTGAACAGTTTCGCGCCCCCCCATCTCTCTGATCTGCTACAACCGTATGTCCCACCACATTCCCTGAGGTCAGCGGACCAGTTGCTCCTCACAGTTCCAGGAACTCATCTTAAGCGCAGAGGGGACAGGGCCTTCTCTGTAGCAGGACCAAGACTTTGGAACGAGTTACCTCTGCTTGTCAGACAGGCCCCCTCCCTCTCGGTTTTCTAGTCCCATTTAAAAATGCACTACTATTCAATAGCTTTCAACACAAGATGATCTGTGTTTTGAACCTGTATGCTCCACACTGGTTAGTCGTCATTATCTGCATCGTTTTTATGTCTATATTTCTGATTTACTTCATTTTATATTTCGCTTTGTGTGTTACATGTTGTTCTGTTTGTACAGCACTTTGGTTGGCCTTGTCGCTGTTTTAAGTGCTCTATAAATAAAATGGTATGGTATGGTATAGTATAATGTGCCACTTGTTCCAGGGTTGAGTTTCAGGAGAGCCTGCTTGAGCAGATAAGTACAGACATCACTTTCCATAGCCACCTCTTCTGAGAAGATTTCAAGATGTTTGTCAGCTGAGAATACTAGATCAGCCAGGTCTGATGGAACTGGAAGTGGCAGTCGAGAGTTGGACATGCTCCAAACACCTATCTAGGGAATTGAACACAGGGCATCCTTCCAGAGACCCAAACCACCTCAACTGGCTCCTCTCCATGTGGAGGAGCAGGTTTACTCTGTCTTTCCTGGATAGCTGAACTTCTCATCCCATCTCTAAGGAATGTTCCAGCTACCAAGCAGAGAAAACATTTCAACCACCTGTATCTGTGACCTCATTCTTTTGGTCAGTACCCAGAGTTTGTGACCATAGGTGAGGGTAGGAATGTAGATTGACTGGTAAACAAAGAGCTTTGCCTTGCAGCTCAGTTCCCTTTTCACTACAATGGACCGGTGCAGACTATTGTATATGTACAATACTGCAGAATCTACACCAATTTGTTTATCAATCTCGTAGTCTATTCTTCCTTAACCAAGTTGTGACCAAAACCCAGAGGTATTAAAACTCCTCTACCTCACTCCAAACTCGGAGGGAGCAGTGCACCCTTTTCCTGCTGAGGACCATGGCCTCATATTTGGAGGTGCCGATATTAATTTCCAACGATTCGCACCTGACAGTAAATTGCTTCAGTGAGAGTTGGAGGTTGTGCCATGATCTCCAGCATAGAACACACATCTGTCCTTAAACCTGTCATTATGATAGATAAATAAAAATTATCTAGCTGTCAGTCTTTGAGTTCTTTGCCTAATTGTGAGGAACCAGAACAATAGACCATGGCTTTGTACAATGGAGTGCACATCCCTTAATTTTGACAGCTACACCTGCTGTGGTTCCTAGTGATTTTAATGAACCTGTGACAGAAGCAACAGCATTAGCTCTGATCTTTGTTTGGACTGTATTAACGTGTTTGCTCTCGCTCAGAGACTTCACAAAAACTCAGAGGTCTAATACAAACGGATCGACAGCTGTGGCTCAGGTGAAAGCGCATTCATCTGCCAGTTGGATAGTTGGTGGTATTATCCTAGTTTTCCCCACCACATGTCAGAGTTGACGTCAAGCTGAAAATCAATGTGAGGGCATGTTTGTGAATGGATGCATGTGAACTTGTGTGAAAGTGCTTTGAGCAGTTAAAGAGACTAAAAATGCACGTAATCCATTTACCATTTAGATCTTACCTGGTCAGGCAGATACCGCATTAACTTAAACCAACAAAACTTGTTTAATGTTTAAATATGTCTAAATATTAGGCTTTTTTAAACAGATTTTTCTATACTATTTACAGTGAAGCAGTTTTTCTGCTTTTGTTTTTAAAGATTTTGAGTGTTTTTAGCTGAAACTTCACTGTGCTCATACATAACAATTTATACTCATGCTAACAAAATTCAAACTTTTCAGCCTTCCCAAGGAATAGATCAAGATTTCGTGTTTTTAAACCTATTTGAACAGCACATTAAGCTTCCATTTTTTATGTTTTTGACAATCAGCATCTTCAACTCAAACGTTAACCATCAATAGGACTCAAACACATTTTCACTGACAACATTAATTCTGTAGTTCACATCATCCTACTGTATATAGTGTCTATCTTTAGGTTTCATGCATATATCTGTCCATCTTTTATACACTGAGTATTCCTGTAAAGGTGAGTGGAGGAGGCTAATGGAAGAACGTCAGCCCTAATCTCAACACATCTGATACTTCTATCGAAATGTTTTTATAAAAACAATTGTATAGTTTATTGTGATTGTGCAAAGGTTATGAAATAGTATTAGGTAAAGTGATTTTTTAAAATGTAATAATTAATAAGAATTTTTGGTGCATTGTTCGGTTAACATGTCTGTGAGATAAAAAGGACTGAAGGACAAAAACAGGGGACAGAATAAACACCACAAGAAGACAAGTCTAGCAGTTCAGTTTCACTCAGATCATCGACTTTAAAAAGTTGGAGGAAGTTCAAAGCTGACATTCTCATCTGAGACCAAACTACCTCTTTAAAATAAAAGTTTAAACCAAATTAAACTCAGTAATTTATGATGCTTCAAACGCATTTAATAATTTTATAATTAGAAAATGGAACTTTTACAGTAAAATTACACTGACTTGAAATTACAAGTAGACTAATTAGTAGGCTGTTAATCAGCTGATATTGACAAGTTTTTAAAAATTTGGCAAACAACCGTACCTGTTCATACTGAATTAAGTACCAAGTTAGGAAAATGAAGATGCAGTAGCAGCTGCTACAACCAGGTGACTGTAGCCCACAATTAGTTTTTTTAAGGCAGAAAGCTCTTCTACATAATATTTTAAGTGTAAAAATTATTCTAAAGGTTGTTAAATATGTTTATTTAAGTTAAACAATTGGTTATATTTAGTTAAAAGAAAATTACCTATCAACAAAAAAGGGTGTTGTATGACGGTATCAACCGCCCTGATTTCTAAAGATTGGCATCAGAAAAACTCAAATCGCTTGAGCTCCACTACAAATCACTTATCAGAATATTCAAGCTCATAGAAGAAAAAGTCAACTTTCAATGATGTTTTTTAAAAATTAAGAGTGACTTAGTTTGACCAATTTGGAAGCCCATTTCCGTCATGAAAGAAAAAATAAAAGCCCAACAGGAAATCATAATTTCGACTTTTAAAGTCATAATTATGAGAAGTCATAATTTTGAGTTTTAAAGTCATAATTATGAGAATAAAAGTAATAATTTCGAGTTTTAAAGTCATAATTATGATAATAAAAGTCATAATTTTGAGTTTGAAAGTCATAATTACAAGAATAAAAATCATAATTATGAGTTTTAAAGTCATAATTATGAGAAAAGTCATAATTTTGAGTTTTAGTCATAATTATGAGAATAAAAGTCATAATTTTGAGTTTGAAAGTTATAATTACAAGAATAAAAATCATAATTATGAGTTTTACAGTCTTAATTATTACTTTTATTCTCATAATTATGACTTTAAAACTCAATTATGACTTCCTGTTGGGCTTTTACTTCATAGCGGAAATGGGCTTCGATACTAAATACTAGATAAAGTGGTGATGAAAAGATGTATACATTACATACCTTTATTTAAAAGGATTGATGTCTGAAGGCAGAGGGACATACATTGAATGAATTAATTCATGTGCTATGCAGGAAAACTGCCGGTGTCTGACAGGAAGTTTCATCCCTGTAGAGTCATGGTGTCCAACAAGGGACAAACTTTGAAATGAAATTAGAAAAGTCGAAATTATGACTTTTATTCTCATAATTATGACTTTAAAACTCAAAAATATTACTTTTATTCTCATAATTATGACTTTAAAATTCGAAATTATGACTTCCTGTTGGGATTTTATTTTTTCTTTCATGGCAGAAATGGGCTTCCATAGCCCAAAACCTAAAATATGGCTGCTCTAATTGTAGCCAATTATAAATTGTCTATAAGCCTTTCTGTCCGTTTGAAACTCAATAAATCAGTCTGAAATACTCTAAATACTAAATATACCATTATTGTGTTTGCATGCACAAATACAGTGCAAATTGTTTTTATTTTATCACTAATAACGATATCAGAGAGCAAACCTGACTGGTGTTAACTCCTTTCAGCCAAAATAAAATGAAGAATATCAATCCAAAGAAATAGTTCTGACTTCAAAGACCACTGAACGCAGCATCACTTCTAAACAAACAAAATCTACATTTATTCGGGAAGCCAAGGTGAGAAATAATTATACCTGTTGAGTCTATTCTATACATCAGAGTATAAAATCTCCCCTTCAAGGTCCTCCCAGGTAACACATGGCTTTGGTCTGTGAGCAATCCTTGTTACATCCAGCTCAGGTTTACTGTAGTACCACTTTTTGAGCAGCTGGTTCATTTGGTCCTGCTTTGTTATCCCATGAAGTCTGTCCTCTTCTTCCTCCCACCCCTCTTTGCTGTTGAAAATAAAAGGTGGATGTTGGAGACGAAGTATGGTGTCTTCCCTCATGTCCTCAAAAAACTGCACCACACATTTTCTGGCGAAGTCGCGAGCGTGCAGGACGCAGGTTTCGTCAAAAAGCTTCTGCTCCACATCCAGGTAGTTGCTCCAGTAGCGTGTCTGCAGAAAGCTGGCATGGTCATCAAAGCAGGGCTTGATGAGGCGTCCCATTGCTCCCAGAATGATCAGGAACAGGAGGGTGGACCATCCTACTGCCTACAAAGGGTGAGGAAAGCAAACAACACAGAAGCATCAGACAATGAAAAACATCCACATGTAATTGGAGTGTGTGTGAGAGAACAACCAACAAAGACTTCATCAGCAGACAAATGGTAGTTTAATTAGGAATGGCCCTGACTCTGGAGTCTCTGTTTAGCCTTTTTGTTTTTTCTTTATTAGTGTGCATTGAAAATGAACTGTATTGTGATTCTCCTATTACTGCCATTTAAATTTCTAATTGCTCATGACAGTCAGGTGATGCTATGACTCCTGTCTCTTGTGCTACTTTTGTGCAGACATATTGGTTTCCATATGCTTTTAGGCCTAAATTTCAACTGTTCAGATACTTCTGCCAAGGCATGCTCATAAGCAGCATCAGGCAATGACATAGTGTACTTCCATGCACATTTGATTTATTGTTGTTTTAAGCTTTTTAAATCAGAGTTCTATTACAGGTATTGGTTAAGAAAGGATACTCCTGCTCCCAGTTCGGTGGCTTTGGAGGGTTCTCGATTAGATCCAGTTTCCCTTCTGCATTACTTTGCTCTCAGTTGCCTTTTAAACAGCCAAGTTCAACTTATACTTGTAAGCCCATTGTGATCTGGACAGTCAAGCTCTGGAATCAGTTCAGGAGGGCATTTTACTCTACAGAGCTACTGTTTGTGGCACCACTGTCAAATAATCACATGTTTACTCCCTCAGTAGATGATACAGTGTAAGGATCTGTCTATTCTCTGTCTTGTGATCCTTTTTGTTTCTGCTCTCCCTCGTGTAATCAGCTCCTCCTTCTGCCACCTGTTCATCCTTCCCAGGTGTTTGTGTTTACCCCTCATTAGTGCATGTATACAAGTCTGCATCTCCTGTTACTCTTCAGCTGCCCATTGTCATTCCATGTCCAACCTTGCTTCCTGTGTCTTCCCTATGTGCTTCCTTCATGTACATTTTTGCTGCCTCGTCAGCATTTTTGTTTTAGTTAAAATAAACAATTTATTTTTGCCTCCTGAGTTCTCTGTGGTCTGCCTGCACTTGGGTTCAAATAAAGGCTGGTTTATTTACTTATTTACTGGTTTGTTTGTTTATGTTGTTTTGCTTGTTCATTTAGTTTTGAAGACATCCAGACATCTCTCACTACAACTTAGTGTTGGAACACCAAAATTTTAGTTTGAATTGAAAAATGTTCTTGGTTGAGAAGCAAAATATCTCCAGAAATAAAATAAAGCCTTTGGTTGAAACTAGGTGAAAAGATGGAGATTTTTCAAAACACATACTACACAGTGTAATCATTTATGTGGCAAAGGCTTAGTGAAAATGCAGAAGCAGTGTGTAAAAAATTATTCCACCTCTTCTACTTTAAGTTTCAACTTTAAGTGGGCAAATAATGGATTGATTCACTGATCATCATCCGTGAGACAAATTTTATAATTTCAATTAAATTCAATTCAGTTTATTTATAGAGCGCCAAGTCACAACAGAATTCATCTCAGGGCACTGAACAGAAACATTCATGTATAAAAATAATAAAAACAAAAACATTCCTTAAAAATAATGATTTAACATTTATCTGAGGAGCAGACTGCTTTGAATTTAACTCCATCACAGAACTCTGATCTAAAAGGGGAAGTTTTGGGAAACATACGTGTCAACACACAATGCCAAAGACGATTGCAATTATCAGGTGCAGCTGGTCCATAAGGGCAGGGTTGGTGGAGTAGCACCTAATAAATAAATAATACATTTGCTTCACAAAGTACTTCTTCCTAATAAACAATGCAAATTACTCAAGCAGTTCAACATTTTTCAGTCAGGTCATCTGGACAGTTTCTTGTTTTTGTGCTGAAACGTATTGAGTTCCACTTTGCAGTAAGCTGTTGGGGGAAGAGTCAGTTTTGTTGTGTGTTTCCTCGACTGATGAAGCCTTCTGGATCGAAGGCGAAACGTTTCAGCACAAAAAAAAAAAAGAAACTGTCCAGATGACCTGACTGAAAAATGTTGGATTGTATACCTGGATTATTGAGCATGGACTTTGTTGTACTCAAGCAGTTAGCTTGATGTGGAATTTTCATGCTGAGAAGAAACTGTTTCCACTCATCAGTCTGGGAAGGGCTGAAGGTCTGAACCACATGGAGTTCTTCATTAAACAGAGAAAGGTTTTTCTCAAGAGAAAAACATTAAAGGCAGTTGTCAATCTTCCACTGAGTGGCAGTTCCAGGAAACTCAACCCAAGGTCACACTCCCTCAGAGGCGAATCGATTTTTGAAATGCAGCTGATTTGACCATTAACGTGCATTTATTAAGGAAAAGTTAATGTGAGATGGCACCTTTGCTATAATTTCAATGACAACCTCAGCTGGAGCAACAACACCACCAGCCTGATCAAGAAAGCTCATCAGAGACTCTACTTCCTCAGACGGCTGAGACGAGCTGGTCTGTGAAGCTCAGTCCTCACCTCCTTCTACAGGTGTGCAGTGGAGAGCATCCTGTGCTCCAGCATCAGCGTGGGGCATGGAGGCTGCACCGCTGCAGAAAGAAAAGCTTTGCAGAGAGTGGTGAAGGCTGCACAGAAGTCTGTTGGAGTCAGTCTCCCCACCATCACAGACATCTACACCTCCAGATGCAGGAAGAGAGTCACCTGCATCATGAAGGACCCCACTCACCCAGCACACACACTTTTTGCCCCACTCCCCTCAGGAAGGAGGTTAAGGAGCATTAAGTGTAGAACCACTAGACTGAGGAATAGCTTCTACCCTGAGGCTGTTAGACTCATGAATCTCTAACCAGAATAATCACTGTGAAAAACCATATCATGTTGCTGCTGATCTGTTTCATGTTGCTGCTGATCTGTTTCATGTTGCTGCTGATCTGTTTCAATGTTGATGTGTTCATGCGTGCACATCTGCTCACAGACTCATGTTCATGTTTGTGCTGATGTTCAATGTTTTATGTTATGAGTGCTTAGTGTATATTTAGTTGATGTTTTTCTTAGTTCATATCTTAGATGTTATTATTGTTTTTCTTATACATTTTATTTTTGGATGTAACTGGGACCCTGTGTACATAATTTCGCTCCACCACATGTACCATATGAGGTGCGAATGACAATAAAAAATCTCTGACTCTGACTCTGACTGTGTAATGCTTAGAGAAATGACAAAACCGAAGAGCTCCATCTCTACTGTCGTCTATTAGCAGGTCGGAGGCTGAAGTTGATGAAAAAGACTGAATGAGACTGTTTCCAAGGGTTGCAGGAGGAAGCCGTTTCTCGCTAAAAAGAACCAGTCAGCACAGTCAAGCTTCATAAAATTTATCTGAACTAACCACAAGAATTTTGTAGCAATTTTCTTCGAGCAGATGAGACCAAAGAAGAGAAGTCTGGTCACAATGCACAACAGCACATTCAGAGAAAACCAAACAGCATCTTCACACCCTCACACCGCCTGTCATGCACGGCGGCAGAGGACTGATGATTTGGGCTTGTTTTGCAGACACAGGTCCTGTGTATTCAGTCACTGAATCAACCATGAATTCCTCTGTTTCAATGAAGCAAAGCTACAAAGAAAAAAGTGATCTGTTCACAATTATTTAAGAAAATGATAAGGTCATATAGAAGACACCTACTTCATGGTATTGCTGCTAAAAGTGGTTCAACATGCCATTAAAACATGGGATGGAATGAAGTTTGGCTTTTATTGGATCATGCAACAGAACAACAATCCCAAAGAAATGTAGAGTAAAAAATTTAAAAAGTTAATGACACACTTGGCTTGCCATACAAAGCCACCTTCGTCTCGCTCTGGAACTTATGGAGCAAACATTAAATCAGCTGCATTTCACTGTGCCGCCCAGGTGAAATGCAGATGATTTGACCATTAAATTGAATTTATTAAGGAAAAGTTCAACTGAGACACACCTGTACTATAATGTTGAGCAAACAAATAATTGTTTTTAGGTGGTTATGTTAAATTTAGAAGAAATGCACAGCGAGTCGTCTCTCTGCACACTCCCTCAGAGGCGAATCGATTTTTGAAATGCAGATGATTTGACCATTAACGTGCATTTATTAAGGAAAAGTTAATGTGAGATGGCACCTTGGCTATAATTTCAAGTAAAAAAATAATTGTTTTTAAGTGTTAAACTTGTTAAATTCTTGTTAAAGTCCTCCTGTGCACACTCCTGCGGCCGCCATTTGGCAGCCAATCCATTTTGCCACAACACCAGCCCACTTTTCCGGGTTGTCAGCGGTGACGCCTAATAGATGCGACTTATACGGCGAAGCGACGCATTCATGTTTTTCCAACTTTATTAGACATATTTGGACTGATGCGATGTGTACGGCATAAAGTACGGTAGCTTTTGGCATTGTAAAAAGAAAACAAATCTTGTTATGTGTGATCATGTGTGTTGTTGCTTTTTCAAGACTGAATGACCTTTTTTTTTTTTTTACTCACTGTGAGTGCATAAGACATCTTACCTGAGAATAGCAACGAACGTAGCGAGAAACTGCTTTACGGAATGAGCTGTTCCTGAAAATAACGTCCTCCTTGCAGGGCACTTTGGCCATGATTTTAATCATATCCAGACCCGTGTTATTGGGCGCACCTAGGAAAACCAAATTTTGTTATAAGTAACAGATTAAAACTAAGTTCATCTAGCCCTGAGCACTTTAGTTTTTTTTGTTTTTTTTTTATACCTGAGAAAAGTGCAGGGTCTACACTCAGACTGAAAGCACATATAAAGATTTTTCCATCCAACAAGGTGACCAGGATCCACACCATCGGTGCCAGCAGGGCCCTCTGGATCATGGCAGAAACCAAATATCTACAGGAAAACACAAAACTGATGTTTAAACCACATAATTTCTGCAAACCAACTTTACAGTAAGAATGTTCAGAGTGACAGCAAGTAGATGCATTTAAATTTAGTTTAATGATGAAATGACTAAAGTCAGGATATCTTATAACACTGTTCAAAACGTTTAACATGACCAGATATTTAAAAAGTTTAAAGAAGCATTTGTCTATTAATTTGCACAAATCTTACGTATATGACAAGTAGTCCTTGCAGCCATTGTTAAATTTGTCTCTATTGCAAATAAGTCAAATGTGCACATTGAGGAATAACTCAATGTGAGAGCATTGCAGAGCTGAAAGAAAAGCCAGTCAGGCCCTGAGAACAATGGACACTGTGAACTCTCCCAGACCAGACTGGTACGAATGCTGCATGTATTTCTCGATAATTGTCAGCTGTGATGCTTCACTACATCAGTGAACAAAATAATAGCCAGGCAATGATTTGGTATCAGTAAGTGATAGTCTGACATAGTTAGATGACACCAGTACAAGATTATGAATCTGATAGTGTCTTTCATCAGTAGGTTTACAAAAGAGAAAATCCAATAAAACCAGTAATCACTGGGAAGCAGGTTTTCGACAATTACGAGCTGTGGCCTCACTGGTGCAGGGTTTATTCAGAACCCAAATGGAGAATTTCTCCTCTGTTTCTGTGGTAACAAACCAGTAGTCACTAACAAGGCTTGGTTGTATGTTCACCAGTAAATACTGGTGAACTACTCATTAGTTCCTGATTCGTTCCTCTTTGATTTCCTTGGTAACTACCTATTAGTTCTTGATTAGTTTCTCTTCAATTACAAGGTAACTAACCAGTAGTTTCCTAATAAGGCTTGGCTCTGTGTTCCCAAGTAAGTACTGGTTAACTACCCATTAGCTCCTGATTTGTTCCTGATTTGTTCCTGATTTGTTCCTGAGGCGTTCCCTGGTAGTTAATCAAATGTTGTGTGCCTTATTGTAAAGTGCTACCACTTATTTTGCACAGAGACTCTGAAGCTGCTTTAGTAACGATAAACGGTTGTAAAACGTTGGAGCCACGGAGCGTTGGACAGGAAGAGCTGTCTGGCTGTGTGCATCAGTGACAGGAAGGCTTTTTACTCACTTGACCACTGCAGGGTTTTTGGATCTGTTCCCGACCGGCCTCATCCACTCGTCCATCATGACACCCGTATGTCGATTGACGAGGACCCCCAAGAAGAACAGTATGATGGGGGGTACAATCATCACCCCCAGAGAGTACAGCTTGTTGTACTGAGGGAGGCACGGGCAGTTAAAGTCGAAGCTGGTGTAGAGCTTTACACTAACCAGTGCGAGGATGATACAGATCCCATTAGAGATGGACTCAGAGTTAGACTGGAAGTACTGCAAGACCAACTTCAGTCGCTCCATAACTCAGGCGGAGTGGAAACAGTGTTTGGAGTGGAAGGTGAGAACAGCAAGGAGCTCTGGTTGAAAACAAAAACTTTCTGTTTTGTTTAAAAAAATAAAAATGCAAGATTTAGTTTTCACATAAACAAAATAAATAAAATCCGTGGTACCTGATACTGAGATAAATCCAACAGCTGACCAGTTCCTGCGAACCGCCTGAGCCTTTGTGCAGATACAATAGTTACAGAGCTCGTTGGGCTGTTGTCTAAAGACAGTACAAGAAAGCATGAATACACCTGAGCAGGTGACACATGGACACACCCTGACCTGCTGTTAAAGTGGTACTCACCATTTGTTCCGTTTACACAGAGACAAGAAGACGCAGCACTGGTTCCTCCTGTGGCTGTCTGGTCGTGTTTGGCCCTGATATGGGATTTAAAATAAAGGCCAAGCATTCTGTGAATGGATGTATATCAGTCAGTGTCAAACTTTGTAAATGACTTCATGCACTATTTCATGTTATAATGTGTGAGATAGCACTCAGAGTATTTTATTCATTTTATTTAATCTTCATTTAACGAGGAAAATCCCATTGAGATTAAAAACCTCTTTTCCAAGGGAGACCTGACCAAGATAGGCAGCAGCAAATACAAAATATAGTTACCACATTACAGTCAAGACAATAAATTAAAACACCAAATTGAGAAACATTAAAAACAACACATAAATAAATACAAATTAAGAGCAACAGGTACAAATTTTAGAGTTAATCTGAAGTCCAGTTTTGAATTGAATGTGCCCAGTGAGTGACCTCCATCAGGTTTGAGTCTTTCTGCAGAGTATCCCATGTAGCAGTGCAGAATGGACAAAAGTCATTAGTTGGCGCTGTGAATTTTGTACATTCACCTAATGTGCATGTGCGCAGTCAGGGACAGCCAGTGTTGCCAAGTCGCTTATTATTAGATACTCCGCACTTGTGTTTTTCTAAAGTCGCTTGTAAATCTTGTGAGTTGCGGTTTTTCCTGCTTGTTTTGAACATGAAGTTGATTATTTGAGCTTGACTTTATTTCAGTGTGAAACTAGTCGATTACCTCCCAGCTCCGCACAAGAAAGCAAAAGATGAGGGGTAGTAGGTAGTTTGTCCCTTCCACGTCCCCGTTTCCTGTTTATCGCTCCCAAGTTGGCGAGGGGGCAGGTGCACACATAGACATATACAAATACGTCTGTGGGTACGCACCCCAAACACTCATACTGTGACTGACCACTATAGGGGGCTCCACTCACATGTAGATGTCAGGATTCAAAAAGCGTTCAATACAAAAACAACTGGACTTTATTTGTAACAGAAGACGTTTCTCTCCTCATCCGAGGAGCTTTCTCAATTCAATGAGCAGTGAGTGAGAGATTCAGGTTATAAGGCTGAGTGAGACAAGACACACACACATATGTAGATTTGACAAGTCACACCTCAACACCTTAAAAGTAGGATCTTCTTATAGTCTTTGTTCCTCTAATTCACAGATGAGGCCCCTCTGTTCCCATCAGGTGTGAAAACTGACTAGGAATCTGTTTTAAAGTTGCATTATAGGTTTTTGAAAGTTGAAATCTGAGGCTTCCTCCTCTGTTAAGAGACGGCTTTTCCCTTTTTACATAAATTGCTTCCTTCACCCATTAGGTATTTTCTCTCCTACCCAAGAGAAGAAAAAAAAAGCACCACACAGGACAGAGTAAGGTTTTTGGCCAACACTCCTTGGATTCATTGGGTGGGTGTGTGTGTGGTGGGGACAGGTGTCGTGTAAATGAACAGTCGGACTGCAGAGAAAGGTGCAGCTTCACTCCAAATATGTCATGTAAACGGGGTGCCCATTATGTCTATCACAAAGGTAATCTGAGTAGATTGCATGGCATTAAAAAAAAAAAGTTATGTTCAGCAAACACTACACTGCAGTATTGCTCCCTGCTTCAGCTGTGATGGTCAGTGAAACTTAAAATGAAAGTCCAACATTTTTCAGTCAGGTCATCTGGACAGGTTTTTTTTGTGCTGAAACGTTTCGCCTTCAATCCAGAAGGCTTCATCAGTCAAGGAAACACACAGCAAAACTGATTCTTCCACAACAGCTTACTCCAAAGTGGAACAAACCAGTTCTGCTTGTAATTGTGAAAAAGAAACTTTCCAGATGACCTGACTGAAAAATGTTGGATTGTATACCTGGATTATTGAGCATGGACTTTGTTGTTAAAATGAAAGTGTTGTCATTATATTCTCTGTAATAAAACATCTGGTGTATTAGATGTCCTAACTTTTGAAATGCTAAATAACTCCTTTAAAATTAAATGGTTAACCAACTTATTAAAAGTGAATGATACACTTTGGAACACTTTCTCCAACCATATTTTTAATCAGGTAGGTGGACTCCAATTCTTATTAAAATGTGATTATAAAATTGAAGAGTTACCTATAAAGTTATCAAAATTTCACCAACAGGCTCTCCTGGCCTGGAAACTTGTCTACAAACACAACTTCTCTCCAAATACGTACTACATTTGGAACGATGGGAATATTCTGTATAAGAATAAGTCACTTTACTATAAAAACTGGATGGATAATGGAATGATGCTGGTCCCACAGATGTTAAATGATAACAGAACCATTTTGTCATCCACTGAATTTCAGACCAGATTTAACACACCTGTAACACCTAAAGAGTATGTTGTCGTTTCTGATGCTCTACCAAACTCCATGATGCAACTCTTCAAAGGAACAAAATATTATTCATCTAGAGACCAACTTAGAAGCCCCATAGGTGAAATGGAGATCACTAAAATAACATGCTCCAACAAACTTATAAGATCATGTCTGCAGAAGATTACTTTACCTCCTGGTAGATTTGTTTTGGTCCTCTACTTTTTGGAGAAATTAAGTGGAAACAAGTTTTGGTTAAATGGGGAAAATGTTGCAGAACAAATAAAGTTAAAGAGGTTTCATATAAAATCAATCATAATGTATACCCTGTTAAAAACACTGGAAAGATTTAAACTTGATATCGACTACTCTTGTACATTTTGTGAACTACACATGGAAACAATTCCTCATTTATTCTATCAATGTAATCACACAAAGACGTTCTGGACAGATGTACAACTCATACAACTGAAACTGGACAAATAATTCAACTTACAGAGAAATACATTATATTATGCTTCAACAATAAAGATATGGACAAACACTTGATCTACTTCACCCAACTTCTACTTCTCCTGGGAAAATTCCACCAACACAAGAAAAAGTGGTCAAAGTCCAAGTCAAGCATGACCCACTTCAGCAGAACTTTACATTTACAGGACCGCTGTTAAAGGACTGGAAAACAAACAGGCAATGAAACCAACTCAGTTCTAGAAAAACTTCATGTGAATTTATCTGTATAACATGTAAATATATTGTGTTGTATCTTTTTAGACTGTTGCACCTTTTGATACTTGAATACTATTACCTCTGTAGTTAATATGCCCCTGGCAGACATACTTGAACGTAGTCTTCATGCACCCTCTGCTGGACACATTGTACAATTACAGCTGGTCCCCAGCCTTTAGAGAAGTGTTTATATCGGCACATACTGATTGGTCCTGAAGATCTATATCGGCCTAAAGTATCGGGCCTACAGATATATCGGTAGGGCTCGAGGAGCAGATAATGATTTGCTCTCAGTATTCGTGTATCATTGAACAAGACACTGAATCACACAGAATGCATGGAATGTGCTTTATTTAGGAACAAATCAAACAAATTTATAATGAATGGGAGTAAGAAAAGTCTTTTAGCCACAGTACAACTCTGAACCTTTTATAAAACAACAAAAAAAATTAATCAAATTATCGTAACCAAATCAAAGTTTTCTTAACAGGTTGACGGGAAGAACAGGCAAAACCAAAATGTTATTTTGTTACAAGATAGCTTTATATTTCTGCTGCATGAAAGTGCTTTGATTAAAAACTATTTTCAAAAGGTCAAAACAGTGTCAGCACAGATGTTCTGGCTCTGACAGCTGCAGTTACTGCTTTATATGCCACCAGGAAGAGGAAGACACTAAAGGTTTACTAAAAAAAATTGAAACATGAAAAGAAAAGGTACAATCACAATAAGATACACTATAATGTCTGACAGTTTGATGGCCAATGTCAGATTCAAATTATTTTTTTTTGTCATTAAACTGAAAGATTTGAAAAATAAAAATTAAAAAAATCCCAGTGTTTAGTTTTCCAACACACCACAGAGCACGTGGTCACACAACAATAGAAAACTAAAACTAACACAGAAGGCTGGTACTGAAAAAATTAAATAAAAAAATCAAACAAACCCTGTTGCTCCAACCTACAAGCAGCAGTTTTAGGATGTTCTTCAAGTCTTTACGAGCAGCTGTGCGTCACCTGAACTTCAGTCTTGTTTAAAAGTTCATGCTCTCTCAGGTCAGTGAGATCTCTGAGGACTCCTCAGTGTCCACCACTCTGAAGACCCCAACTTTCTCCTTCATGCTCCCCTTGTCTTTGTCTGGAAAGAAAAAAAATGTTTAGATGTGCATATATATATATTTTTTAATTTTATTTTCTTCTTCCACTTTCAGCTGCTCCCTTCTTCAGGGGTCACCACAGGGAACTAACTCGCACAAAGACTTGGCGATAGATTTTGTTTACACCAGATGTTCTTCCTGACAACCACTGAGCTACCACAGCCCTCTGCGTGGAGCAGAGAGCTGCTGTCTAGGACACCTGGGGGAGCAGATGGTGGGGGTTAAGGGCCTTGCTCAAGGGCCCAGAGAGGGACAAATGAGGGTGGAGGCAGGTGTGGGCGTTTCATCTTTTTCACCCACATTTTGCTGTTGTCTGTCTGTGGAGTTGAACCTGGGGAAGACAAGTGAACTGAAAGTAGTTCTGAATATTTGTTGTAAGTGTAAGATGAACAAGAACAGCTGCAGCATGAAGGGGTCTCACTGAACAGTAGGTTTACATTTTACAGACGTCTCTAGTCAGCTTCTGTCAGATTACATCTACTGGAGGCCATTAAACTGTGACGCCTCAAGAACACATCAGGAAACACTAAAGCTCCAAGAACGTTTAAGATGAGTTTGGAGAAGCCTTGAATACCAAAGACTACTGTGCAGCTCCTTTTTGATAATTTGTCACTGTAGATTATGTCATCGTATGTCAGAGACTTTCAGAACGAGCTAGTGGCGGATTCTTTAATTATCTTTTCCATCTTAGTATTCTCAACTCGGCGGTCTCAAGTTGCCTCGAGACCTCGGGGCGGCTGTGGCCGAGTGGTTACCTGTAACCTGATGGTCTCATGTGGCTGCCCACCACCCTCCCCTCTTGGGGGCAGGCTTTGGTGACACACAGAGTGAATGCTCTCAGGTAATCACATAAACCAAACCTCTTGCTCATGGTTTCAAATACCCAACCATAACTCCACCCACTGTCATCATGTGACCAGAAGTCTAACCTGAATGACCAATGAGGTACTCGAGGACCATCCCCCAAAAGACGTGCATTCATTTCTTCAGCTCGTTCCCGTGTTGTTACCGTATTTTGCGCTTCATGCACAGACCTGTTCATCTGTTCAGCAATAATGGAAAACACACGGAGAATTTCTTATGATGCAGCTTTCATATTAAAAATGATCGACCTGGCTGTTGAAAGAGGGAGCAGCTGCAGAGACGCAAATGGTGTGTGATGACGTTTTTCTGAGCCTCGGAGAAGACTTTAGTTCACAGGAGGACAGAGAACAGAGCAATGAGTGGCTTTTGGTCGACTACCGTTACTTTTTATTTTATTTTTGCTGTGGTAAATGCATTTTTCAGAAAAAAATATTTCCCTGATGTTCCTGGGTCAGGTGGGCTCTGCTGATCAGAAGTCATCAACATTTATTTTTAAAGCAGTGAAGGCTGGTACATATTTTAATAAAACTTTTTAAATGATTTCTGTGTGACGTCTGTCTGTGTACGGTAAATATGAGTTTAAATAGGGTAGGTAGGGCTGCACGATGTAGACAAAAAATAATATCCTGACATTTTTAACATCAATGGCGATATACAATATATATGACATTATATATGTCGATATTCAAACATCTGTTAAGTTCATGGCACAAACCAATGCAGACATGTTCCTGTTTTTAGTATTTTACATGGCTTTATAATGTAACTGTTTTGTTTTTTTAATATAATTTCTTCCATTTATTTTTTCAATTCATATGCCTTCTTTTGTGACTGTTGTCATCATTTGTTAAAAACAGGTCTCTCTAGTAAATGAGTCCCGAGGCTCAATGAGACTAACCCGTTTAAATAAAGGGTGAATGAATTCATTTTTTTTTCTTTCCATAAAGTAACAAAAATATATTTCTGAGTCAAAGCTTTGTCCCAGTTATCACACAGGCACATTTATTAACAAACAGCTGTAACTCTACTAAATGTCTAAAAAATTAACTATTTACCATTCGTATTGAATAATAATCCTCTTCAGGTGTGCTGCTTCACAACGTTGGTAAGTGTGTGTGTAGCATCGCTAAAGACGCGGTCGACTAACAAGACGGCTAACTTTATCCGTCTTGTTAGTCGACCGTGTGTTCGATATGACAAGCTGCTGATTTATTAATGTTGCACCACGTCACACTGTTCCTCTCATAAGGCACAGCACGGCTGATAAAAGAGTTTTGACCCGTGGTTGTTTTCAGGAAATGAGTCTGAAAACGCAGTCGGAGCTGCAGCTTATAACTTATAGTTTTAAATGGTGAAGAAGATTCGTAGCTCTCACTTTTGTTGCGACTTGTTTACAGCATTGTGTACAGAAAATATTTTTCTGCTGCTCATCTGACAATTTAAATACAAACTAGGAATGTGCAATATGGCATAAAATTCATATCACGATATGTATTGTGAAGGGTGGCGATAACGATATATATCGCGATATGTTTTTGGTATAAAACTTGTTTAAAAAAAGCATAGGGTGTCCTTTTGCCATCATATATTTTGAATTAAGAAAATTCCACTACTAGGTCCAGAGAGTTTTTAAATAATAAACAAATCAAGTATTAGGCTTCTTTCTTGTAGTGCAAAACAGTGCAAAATATATCAAATGTAGTTTTAGCCATATGTTTTAAACAAAATAATATGTTGTTAACTCTTAACAGTTTGCAGTCTTCTCACTTAAGAAATGAACAGCAACAGAAAACACTTCATCCTCCAAACCTCTAGTGGGCGCGTCCTTCCACTTTAATGGAGAACTGACACAAAATGAGTCTGTGGCTTTTACTCCCTGACATTTAACGCAGGGTGATTTGATTTAGTATTTCATTGTTTCTCATTATATTTAATGTTTTTATGCTTTTATTCATGTTGCTGCAATATGTTGTTATTAATATTTGATGCTGTGATCTGTTTTGGTAAGCACTTTGATAACAGTTACTGTTTTAAATGTGCTATATAAAAAAATGTGACTTGACTTGTGGCTTTGACCAGAGTGTCTCGCAGTAAAATCACACAACACAGCGTTCTTATCACAGATCAGAGAGCAGGTTTCTCTACAGCTGACCAACACTTACTTTAACTTTCGATGGGGAAAAAAACCCAACTTTAGACGGAATCAGAATACGGCAACACTACGGCAAGCTAGCTGTAGTTAGCTTGTAGCTTCGCTACGTAGCTCTCAAAGAAAAGACTTTAACGCCACTTGCGCAGTTTTCAACAAAAAAAAGTAACTACTAATCTGAAAACTCGGATTTTACATCAGACTCAGCATTACTGCGGTTAGCCGGTAGAAGACAGATCTATATCGTAGACTAAATTTCTATCGTTTCTACCGTGTACCATTTATATCGCACATTCCTAATACAAACCATCTCCAAATAATAGCCATTGGTTTTATTTTTTTGCACAGCAGCGCTGCGCTCCTCTGTTTACTTGTGT